TACTGCGATGAAACTGGTATATTTCGGAAGCTGTTACCGTCGAAGTAGCAAACAACAGCAAACTTGTGTATTTATTAATCGTGATATATTTTAATTAAGAAGACACACTATAAATAAACCCATGGGTGTATGTGTTCTTTGTACATGTATATGTCTTGAATGCATGAACGCCCGCCCTTCAGAGCCCTTCGGAAAGTCGCGACCCTTGATATGTCGTGGTTTTTGCTTGGATCCTGACACTCGAGGGTCCATTGTAATGACAGCCACTATGTACTGGCTGTAAATATGTTTCTCGTATTTTCACCTAACTACTAGTATTTTGATTGGGGTAATCACAGCTTTACATGGAAAAGAACATTGACTTTTTCCTGAAAACAAAACAAAAAAGAAACGTGTTAATTGACTATATTGCCGTCCCTAAGAATCGAATGGTATAGTCCTATTGCTAAACAATAGCCTTGCGATAGTAAACAACATGGCGGACTGAACTCTCTCCAACGCCCAGTACGCTGATATCCGCTGTAATTTGCGACTCTGTTTTTTATTATTATTATCAACTAATTTTATACAGTAAAGTGGTTGTTGCTTTTGATCGGCAGTATTCATATTCGTAATAAGACTGGGTTCAAACGTTTGGGGTTGTGACGACGAGGGGTTCAACCGTCGAGGGATCGCCGTAATTCGCGATTCTGTTGCCAAAGTCAGGTATCTTCTAGTTTTATCCAGTAAAATGTTGCAACTTTTGACAAATAATGCTGGGTTCAAATGGTGAGGATTGTGGCGCCAAGCGGTGTATCGTCGAGGGGTCAAAACATCGAGGGGTCTAATCGTCCTAGGGTCGAAACGTCGAGGGGTCTAATCGTCCAGGGGTCGAAAGGGCGAGGGGTCCAAACGACTTGTAATCTTATGTGATATGATCACAAAATCGCAAGAGTACATGTACTGTAAATGCATTAATTATTCACTGGGTTTTAATTTCGCTATATGATAAGTAAATTCCACTAAATTAAATCTATGTGAACATGCAAAATAACAATAAAACTTATTGCTTCCTTGACAAATTCGTGAAATTAAAACACAGTGAATATGCTCAAGACATCAAAATAGTGAAATTAAATGTCAGTGAAAATAAATGGTTTTACAGTAACCTACATTTCTGAAAATCATAATTAAATTTAGTGAGTGTGTGAATGAATGAACTGATTCATGTTCATCTCATTATTCTTAGTGTTGGTGCTAACAAATTAATTTGCAAATACATGCTTTTTGTGTTTTTGAATGTGACAATAATCTTATTCGTTTACACCAGGGAGCATTTCCAACCACCCTCTGTATTCTAGAGGGGCTGTGGTTAAAACTATGTTCGATTGGAACGGATCAAATGGGATCGCTTTTAAAATATTGCAAGATCCACCTCCAAAATTAATGACATTTTTGTTCATAACAGCTCGCTGTCAAATTCGGTACTCACCTAGAGACAATGATCGTGAAGTAAGTTTTAGATGACGGTTTTCTCGGTCAGCACAACTTAAGACCATTTACTTCCGATTACTTCCTGTCTTTCGTTGCAGACGTCTCGACAAAAGCAGCGCCCTCTATAGTTGCCCAGAGAACCTATGTTAGGTCAAATTTACTTTGAATTAATCCAAAATATTCGGTTTGAAATTCTTATGTTTGTTTTATGTGCTATATACTAAATGGTCTTAGTACTAACGAAATGTTCTATTAGAGGGATCAAAGTTGCGGAGACAGCATGATTAATAATAGAAACTTAGGGGAACTCACACACAAACAACATGGCTGCCACATCGGGTAGTAGGTGAGTTCTGCTTTGTCTCTGAATTCTCAAAGTTCTTGTCGAAACGCCATAAACTTGTGAACTTTACATTTAGGAAATAATTCTGATGTGATTGTTACCGCTATTGGATTATTTAGACACACAATTGTTGCCTTAGTCGAACATAATTCTAACTTCGTACCTAAGAGTCGACATCAGGCAATCCAGTTAAGACCAAATCAATGGCCGAACGTGTTTATATTTATATATGACGACATTTCGTGGAAGTCAATTGACATAGCGTTAAATGAGAAATATATGTATCAAATTTGAAGATTTTTGAAAACAAAATTCAGTTTTTGTCTTGTCTGATAAATGTTAGATGTTGGAATTAGTTTTCTACGGCAATAACATTCAATGAATTGAAGTTTTGTACGTCTTCGTTTTATTTGAAAAAATAAAATGGTATTGACTATGATTGTTTAATTTTTTTTAATATTTTAATTACGTCCTGCAAATTCGAAAGCAAATAAACTGTAGTTTTTCTTTGTTAACATTTTCAATATAAAGTGAAATGATGCCTTGATGCCTCCCAGAATACTCAAAGTCACGATGTGGAATTTGAATTTTGTCAGTCGTATTTATGTTTTATTATTCAAATTTCAAATGTAGTGAAATCATCATAATTCCATAATGGGGTTGATAACTTGTTGAAATAGAGAGGAAGCCATGTTGCATATTTTTACTTCATGATTGTGATAAATTTGTTCGCATGACATAGCATTAATGGGTTTGAAGTGTGTTGTTGTTTACACAATCAATGGTTACTTTTTGACTAAGAGGACAGGGATCTGCCCACATCAGTTGCTAGCGTCCGGCACTCAGAATTTCCAACCAGAACAAAAAGTTGCTGACTGGCACCAATTTATTTGTTTATAATACACACAGGATGTCGGCCACTTGACTATCAATCTATTGTCCTTTTACACACAAGAACATTCACACGAAACAGAACTTGAATGAAACAAGACACCACAATTCCAAATCAACGTACACATGCGACATCGTCCTAATGTGTTTTATTTTATTTTACTCCGATTGACATTCTGTTAGTTATAAAAAACAAACCAGATTGGAATCGTACATCGAGATAATGGAAGGGAAGACAGGATAGTGTTAATTATATAAATAAATAAACAGAAGGAAGGTTTACCATTCCAGTTTAAAGCGTGGTGGTCGTCGCGCAGCACATGCTCGAATTTCATGTAAATAAACAATGTATTTTACACGCGTTGTATACGTCGCTATGAGTCCATATCGAACAGGATGCGGCACGATGACTGTCGCATTTTAATATTGTGTAGGATTGCTCATGTTACTCACTGACAGGGATGCATTTTTCAATTAATTTACACTTGTTCATCACTTTTATCAAAGCAGATTAACTTTACATTAGAAGTTAAGTTAAATTAATTAAAGTACCTGGTAGTTAAATTGGAACTATTAGAATAACAAAATGAATATTAATTGCATCATGAATATTAATTAGTGACCTGCACTCAAATTGGGCTGGGCAGAACCCTGAGATGGTCATTCATAGGTCCCCTTTTGAGTAGAATGACTATTTTATTCATGCTGCCAGCAATGCATGATGGGATTTATTGTAGGGAAGACTTATACCATAGTTCTTAAAGGTCATCTTATGTCAAGTTTTGGTCAGTATAGCTCATAGATGCTGTAACTTTCAAATTTAACTTTTAACTTGGTTTTGCTGACAATACAACTTGATTGTCGAAGTATTATATATGTGAACAGTTGTTCAAGCATGTTTAATAAAATTTTACATTTCAGAAATGACCGATTGAATTGTCCATCCCACCCAGAAGCCACCTTAGTTGAAGATTATCATGCAGGGGACATGATATGTTCTGAATGTGGCCTTGTAGTTGGAGATAGGTGAGTTTATTTCTTCCAGGGTTTACGTTAATGCTGAATCTAACACATAGAACTGCTGTTCTCTAATTAGTTAATCTTCAGTTTTAGAACTTTGCACAGCTATCCCCAGAATTTAATTTAAATTTGTAGTTATATACAATTCATTTTAGTCCCCTTTGAAATGTAGTTCAAAAACAGGGACTTATATTTTCTGCGTCAGTCTGTCCATCCATCCAACATTTCAGACATGCCTCGGCCGATTTCATTCAAACTTAACACACACATATTGATGATCCAATTTAAGATGTCCGAATGGTGGCCATTGTAGCGTTAACAATTTATTAAAAATCAACATTCCTGCCATTTGAACTTGGTCTGGTCATTAAATCACAATAGGGTCCTTCATGCACATCATTTTGTTTTCTAGACTTGATTCAAAATGGCTGACTGATGCTCATTTTGTTTTTAATAAATGCTGTTTTTGGAGCCATATTGCTAACATGGCTAGACTGATCATGTTCAAACTTTACACATTCATCATGTATCATGTATCTGTTTCAAAATCTGATTCAAGATACTGATCATCATTTTTGTGCTAGAAATGCTTTATAAATATTGTTGGGAAAAATGAAAGAATCGCACACAAAAACTGACAATGACTTATTATTCCAAACGTTGCCATTGCCAAAATAGAATAAATATTATCCATCATATGTGGCAGTGTTCTCCCCAGGAATTTAAACCACTGTGGCGGACTAATTTGCATATGATTTGCATATCATTTACATAATAATAGAGATTGACCAAAGCACATTTACATCCACATAACAAACAACATATATTTTCAAAAACAATGTGGCACATATTTATTTGTTTCATTCAGTGTTATAAACACTATTCATTTGGGATATTAATGAGCTCAGTCACAGTGCAAATATTTTTTCTATTGGAGTCAAAATATTACGTTTCACAATTTAGAAGAGTTTGAATTTAAAAATGAAAAATTGTCAAATCAAAATGGAAATGCTGCAGACTATTAAAAACAAACAAACAAATAAATTGTAAAAAGCTAAATGAAACGTATTTGAAACGTTTCAGCCAGGAATATGTTCTCGACTTCCATGATCTTATTTACTACAAAAACATTCTCCTTCAAAAAATTTAT